TTTTTTTTTTTTGTTTGTTTGTTTTGTTTTTTAAAACAAGTGCCTTACTGAAAGAAGCAGTGAGTTACTTTGACCTGACTCTGCAGTGCTGGTATAGATCAGGCACTTCAGCAGCGCTTTTTTAGCTAAAGCCAATTCAGTCAGCTATTGAATAAGAACATCAAAAAAGCCTGACTAAAGCACTGAATTTATACAGGATGTCAGGGATGCCAGGTGCAACTAATACACTGTCTTCTGGGCACGTACTGGCCCAAGTTTAAAGTAAAGAACCACCTCCTGTGCATGTACATATGCATCTGCAAGCAGCCATCATCTCTAAGAGCCTCAGCTGCTCATTTATCAGCCCAAAGCTCTCTTTACTGCAAAGTACACAAAGGGTCTGGGTTGTTACTGTTATTGTTAGAAGCTGCCAGCAGGGTTACTGAGAGGACAGACAGCAGTGAAAATCAGTATGATGATTCTCATCATCACGATCACATCTGACTCAAGAAAACAGTCAAACAAGTTACCTGGTAACTAAATGAACTTTGGGCTTAGATGAAAGCTAGCAGGCCATAAAGTAATCTAGACAGGACAGAGATCCTATTGTTGTGCTGAAAAAAATTACACTGGTACAGGTAATAGAAAGAGTAATAGAAGAGTTCAACCTCCATGTCCCATTAGATTCTGGATGTACAAGCGTCAATTGCAATCATGCATGCCTCTTCAACAGCATTTGGGGAGGGGTTGTGGGGAGGAAATAAAAAGTGCATTCTCTTTCTCAGCTACAAAGCTTTTATATAGCTCTTTTCACCTCAGAGTAATATGCTCTACATTGGGTGACACCTTGTATCTGCACATAAGGCAAACTGTGACTATCATTTGAAAGCAAATTACATCTGGGCTCCTGAATCTGTACTGTTCCAGTAAACTTTTGCTTTTTGGTTAAGGACCTATTGTACCAAATGAAGCCCTCTGATGCAAAAAAAGGAGTGGGCCACAGCAGTTGAAAGGGTTCTCAGATTTAGAATCTGTTTCTGGCCTACTGAAACAGCGCTCAGATACATTAGCTTTCTGGGCATACTACAAAGCCATATTCTTCCCCCTCGGTTTTTTGGCAAAGGGGAGATGAGCTGAGGGTCAGGAGAGGCTGGCAAATTGCATGGTGCATTTCTAAGTTCCATGGGAGGCACAAAGAGCAAAGAATCGGTGCTAAGAGATTTCTCTCTCCCCTTTTACAAAATAAATATGGGGGAAAACTTTCTATCCTTTTCCTCATCTAATTTTAAAATAGGAAAGTTAATTGTAGTCACAGCATTTACCTTCCATTTGCCAGAGATTTCTTTAGTTTGAGGAGGTAATGACATCAAATACTGAAGAACTGCTACATTTGTACTTTTATCTACCTTTTACCTCCAATTTGATATTTTCCCCCAAGCCATCTTCATTGTGTGTGCTTTTCTGATGATTTAGGAAAAAATCTAATATGTATAACAATGAATATCAGTGGCCATTTAATATGTATTCTGTCAAAATAAAAATTAACTCCTGCTTTACTTTAAATGAAGTGGTTTATTCTTTCTTGTGGAAAACATAAATATAGTGAAACAAGTTTCCAACTTATTGTTTCCACAAACAAACTTTATTTTAGGTGAACCACAAAGTATTGAAGTATTTAAGCAGACTTATTCTAGTAACATATAGTCAGAAGTTTTCCATCATGTAATAAAGTCATACAGCAATCAAGTTACTGTTCCACAAAATCAAGAGTATAAGTTGTCTTGCTGTTCCTCAGTCATTACAGAAAAAAAATAAAGTAGTTCCTTTCTTATAAATTATGGCAACCACTAATGGGACGCACAGCTTGCCTTAGGTTACTAAGGTAAATAGCTTTCTCATTTAGGTTTACAGCATAAACAGTTAAAACTGATGTTAGTGGAAACAGAATTAAAATTATGTACAGGTTTATTAAACTAGCTAAATGTCTTTCAAACAGCCTGAAATGATTTGCCAGGGAGAACAAGTGAGGTTGGAGGGGACAAACTATAATTTTAAGGGCATATATTTTAAAATACAGTTATTGAGGCAAATAAAAGCAACTCCTTCTGTTCTACTTATTAGACAAACGAGAAAAAAGAACTTCATTTTTAAACTATAATGATGTACAAGAATCGATACAACATGTATAACACATGCGCAAACAGTGAAAAACTTCAGTCCTGGTCTCCCATTACGAACTGATGAAACTGTAAGAAGGCAGGAAGTCTGGACAACATTTATTTAAACAGTAACCAATAAAAAAAAAAAAAAACCTTAAGTACAGATGCTTTCCAGGAAAAGCCCGAA